CTGGGGGAGCTCCAGGGGCTATTCCAGGGACCATTCCAGGGGTATCCCAAGCTCGGGGGGGGATTCAGGGAGCTGCTCCAGGGTTTATCCCAGGGGGATTCAGGGATCTTCTCCAAGTCCCTCTCCCTGGCTCTGAGGGAACTCCAGGGGTTATTCCAAGGGAATTCAGGGATCTTCCCCAGGGGGATTCAGGGATCTTCCCCAGGAGGATTCAGGGATCTTCTCCAAGTCCCTCTCCCTGGCTCTGAGGGAACTCCAGGGGTTATTCCAAGGGAATTCAGGGATCTTCCCCAGGAGGATTCAGGGATCTTCCCCAAGTCCCTCTCCCTGCTCTGAGGGAGCTCCAGGGTTTATTCCAGGGGGATTCAGGGATCTTCTCCAAGTCCCTCTCCCTGCTCTGAGGGAGCTCCAGGGGCTATTCCAGGGGGATTCAGGGATCTTCTCCAAGTCCCTCTCCCTGCTCTGAGGGAGCTCCAGGGTTTATTCCAGGGGGATTCAGGGATCTTCTCCAAGTCCCTCTCCCTGCTCTGAGGGAGCTCCAGGGGCTATTCCAGGGGCTATTCCAGGGGGATTCAGGGATCCTCTCCCTGCTCTGAGGGAGCTCCAGGGTTTATTCCAGGGGGATTCAGGGATCCTCTCCCTGCTCTGAGGGAGCTCCAGGGTTTATTCCAGGGGGATTCAGGGATCTTCTCCCAGCTCTGAGGGAGCTCCAGGGTTTATTCCAGGGGGATTCAGGGATCCTCTCCCTGCTCTGAGGGAGCTCCACTTCTCCCCCTCCTCACTTCCAGGGGGATCCCCATTTCCAGGGAGCTCCGGAGCAATCCCTGCTCTGCCATCCCGGTGCCTCCCCCTCCGCAGGGCTCTCCCGTGCCCGGGGGGTCTCTTGGGATCCCTGGGAAAGGTTGGGAATTCCGGGCTCACCGGCTGTTGTAGGCCTCCTCCCGGAACTCGTAGTAGGCTCGGCCGTGCTCGTCCTTCTCGTCCCGCTGCCGTTTGAGGCCCCTGCGCTCGGCCTCGGAGCCGGCGGCCTGGGATCTGTCCTCCTCATCCCCTGGGAGAACACAGCCCAAAAAAAAAACCCCTGTCATCCCCCCCCAAAAAAACCGGGAAAAGGCGGAAAAATCCGGCGGCGGAAAAACGGCGCCGGTCGCGAGGGTTTGAGGGATCTCGGGAATGGCAAAAACGGCCCCGGGGGGGGGGGGGGGAATTCCAAGGGTTTGGGCTTCAAAAAGGGAAATATTCCATGGAAATCAGGGATTTGTCCA